ATGGCAATATATAGATAGCAAAAAGATTTGTTACTAATTTTATTTTATTAGAAATAATTTTGTTTTTGTAAATTGTCGTGATTTTGTCATAACACATTGATTTAGACAAGAAAATATAATTAAAAAACTTGAGATATTTTTCTACATAATATATATTAATTATATTAATTACATAGGCTTTATATTACGACAAAATTAAGAAATCCTCATTATCTGCCGGAAATAGCTGTAAGAGTAACTCTGCTGAATTTTATGATAACCCCGAGCGGTCTGGAGGATCAGTTACTCGGTATTGTAGTTGCGAGGGAAAGACCCGATTTGGAATCAGAAAAAAATGTTTTAATCGTGCAGAGTGCTGAAAACAAAAGGTATGTTCCTTAATATACTCCTTCTATTTTTTACACAATTTACTTATATAATTTTTTACTTTATCTGACAGGATGTTGAAGGAGACAGAAGACAAAATCCTGGAGGTACTTTCCGTGGCAAAAGGTAACATTTTAGAAGATGAGGAAGCTATTGACATTTTAATGGTGTCTAAAAATTTGAGCGACGATATTCAAGTAAAGCTAACGGCCACAGAAGTTACGGAAAAGTCGATCGATGCCGCGAGATTGCAATATCAACCCATCGCGGCTTATTCGACTATACTTTTCTTTACAATAGGTAAATCAATCGTGCAAGATCAATAATACCAAAGTCTTTAAATTGAATGTTTAACCGGATTAATTTTTTCGCAGTATCTTTAGCTAACATAGATCCAATGTATCAATATTCATTGATGTGGTTTGTGAATTTGTTCAACATGGCTATCGATCATACAGAGCCGACCGATAATATTAAACAACGTCTGAGAGACTTGACCAAATACTTTACATATTCCCTTTATGTCAATATCTGCAGATCTTTATTTGCTAAGGATAAATTATTATTCACGCTGCTTCTCGTTTTCAATCTGCATGAGACGAGCGGCAAACCGGAAACCGCGAGTCAATGGTTATTTTTGTTAACTGGTGGGATAGGTTTGGAAAATCCGTACCCTAATCCTGCCGAGTGGCTGCTCGTACAACATTGGGATGAACTGTGTAGATTGGATACTGTTAAAGGATTCGAAGTAAATTTTTGTATAATCGATTAGAAAATCGATATTTATAGATTTTGTCAATTCCGTAGGGCATCAAAGAATCATTCTCCAACGCAGTTGACGACTGGAAGAAGATATTCGACTCGAGAGAACCACAGAAAGAACCCTTCCCAGCGCCATATGGCAAATTAAATTTATTCGAACGATTATTAATTTTGCGTTGTATCCGTCCCGATAAAATTATCCCAGCGGTACAATTGCTCGTGGAAGGTAAAAGACATGTTACAAGCGAGTATCAATTGAATGAATTAAACAGACATCATTGATTACTCCAATTATTCGTATTGTAGAACAAATGGGCCCGCAATACGTAGAAGCACCACTTTTCGACTTAGCATCTTCTTTTGCGGATTCCAACTGTTCTATTCCATTGATATTCGTCCTAACTCCCGGTGCCGATCCGGCGCAAACCTTGTTGACATTTGCCGACGAGCAAGGCTATGGTGCCAAGCGTCTTTTCTATCTGTCTCTTGGCCAAGGTAAGTGTTTGCTGTATGAAAATTTATCGTATAAAATTAACCGCGTCATTGTCCCAGGTCAAGGACCTATAGCGGAGAAATTAATAAGGGACGGTGTGTCGCATGGTAATTGGGTAGTGTTGCAAAATTGTCACCTGGCCAAGAGCTGGATGCCGACTTTAGAAAGGATATGCGAGGATCTGATACCCGATACGATTCATCCTGACTTCCGGTTATGGTTAACCAGTTATCCGGCAGAGCATTTTCCCATATCGGTCCTTCAGAACGGCATCAAGATTACGAATGAACCGCCCAAAGGACTCAGGGCCAATATTTTGAGATCCTACGCGAGTGATCCAATCAGTAATATAGAGTTCTTCGAAGGCTGCATTCAAAGCGAGTACTTCAAGAAGCTACTGTACTCGTTGTGCTTCTTCCACGCTATCGTACAAGAGAGGCGGAAATTTGGCCCAATTGGCTGGAACATTCCATACGAATTTAACGAGACAGATCTGAGGATCAGCACTTTGCAATTGAAGATGTTTCTGGACGATTACGAGGACGTGCAGTTTGATGCTTTAATGTACCTCACGGGTGAATGCAACTATGGAGGTAGAGTTACGGACGAGTGGGACCGTAGAACACTGAATACTATTCTATCAAAATTCTATTGTCCGTGAGTATTAGCAAATTATGTAATTTTAATCAATTAAAAAATTACTTATGTCTTTTTTTACTTAGGAAACTATTGACTGATGAAATATACTACTTTGACGCATCGTCTACTATTTATTATTGTCCGATCGCTAGAGAATATGAAGCATATATCGCATACATTAGGAAACTTCCGATAATTACAGAACCAAGTGTATTTGGCATGAATGAAAATGCCGACATACTTAAAGATCAGCGAGAGACAGATCTGTTATTCTCTTCATTACTGCTCACTCAGGTAATTTTCATTTAATTTTTCATGAAAATAACGATATTATGTATCGTATTATAATTATCATCTTCTTTTTATTTTATCAAACTTTATTCAGGATCGAACGGTATGTAATCATGATATTATCATAAAAAATAGAATTTTAATTTATGACAATTGAGGAGATGGGCGGAATAAAGGCCTAATTACCAAATCCTGATTTTGATAAAAATTAAAATAACTTATTACTTTTTTATTATATCACAAATGGGAACAGTATTAAATGTATATATATTTATATAATGTCTTTGAAAAGTTATATGTTATAATATTTTACTATTATGATCAATATTTAAAAAGTTATTTGCAATTTAAAAAATGCACTTAGTCCTTTTTTCCGAATATTGATCATAATATTGTAAGAATCGACAGAAAGAAAAGACTATGAATTGTTTTTTATTTTTACATTCTTCTAGAAAAAATACAAAATATGAAATACATTTTACTTTTACTTGTACAAAATAAATTAAAATAATGTTCAATCATCATCTGATGAGTTTTCGTAAGATATTTTAACATAAATGATAAAAATCTCATTAATAATTTTAAATCATTTGTGCCCTTTTTTTCCTTAGATTATATCATTTTCACCACCACAAGACAATCGAAACACGTTCATATTTAACTAATGTAAACAACATCAATTCTTTGTTTATTTGCGCTAATTTCCGGAAAAAGGACTTAAGTAGAATTGTGTCTCTATTCCGCCAATCCCCTCAATTATACTAATCGCTAATAAATTTTGTACAATTATAAAGTATTAAATATGTATTTTTTATAATTATTTTTTTTTATTGCTCGACTTCAGGATCTTTGGAAAATTAATGAGGTATGTTATATATCACTTTTTGAGATTACGACCTTACATCATGCACACATAACTTATTAATAAATCTTGATTTGATTCTTTCTGAGCCTGAGGTGAAATCTTCAACTATTATAAATGGACTAAAATGACTTGAGTATAAAGATAATGAAACGCTTTATTATCTTTTCTCCTAGGAAGCTGTTAAATCCGGTTTGAGACAAACTTCTGACGATGATATAGTTTATGGTGTCGCGACAGATATCTTGAATAAACTTCCAAATGATTACGATCTCATTGCAACACTTACTAAATATCCTACATTATACAATCAAAGCATGAATACTGTGCTAGTGCAAGAGATGGACAGATTTAACAAATTATTAAGCTGTATCAGGAATAGTCTTATTAATATACAAAAAGCTATCAAAGGTATATATATCAGTTTTAAAAAATTTATACACGCGAAATATTGTCAATTAACTTAAATTATCAATCTTTCATATTATATACATATATGTATATATATAATAAGAGTATTATGATAAAAATTAAAATAACAGCATCTTAGAAATTATATTATCGCAATACCGTAATACCGCAGGCTTGATCATAATGTCTTTTGAGCTTGAAGATATTTACGGAGCAATCTTGACGAGCAAGTTACCTCTTTTGTGGAAAACAAATTCTTACCCCTCCTTAAAACCTTTGGGCAGTTATATCAATGACTTTCTACAACGTTTAACATTTCTACAAGTAATTATCTGTATATTAGCGTTTTGTTCTTTTTCTTGAGCTTGAAATATTTTGAAATATGAATTTGTTTTATACAGCAATGGTATGAGGAGGGACCACCCGTTACATTCTGGTTGTCCGGGTTTTATTTTACGCAAGCGTTTCTAACCGGGACACTGCAAAATTACGCACGAAAGTATCAGATTCCTATAGATCTTCTTACATTTGATTTCGTAATCCTGAAAGAAACTGTCTTCACAACTACGCCCGAGGATGGCGTTTACATTTATGGGTTATTTTTGGACGGTGCAAGATTCGATATGAAGAAAATGTGCATACAGGAGAGTTTTCCCAAAATACTTTACGATAACGTACCTTTTGTAAGTAAATTTATCCCCCAAGAAAGATATATATTTATAGATCAATGACAAAACTTACCTTTTCGCTATAATTCCAGCTGTGGCTGATACCAATGAAGAAACAGGATATCGAAGAAAGACAATCGTACGTTTGTCCGCTATACAAAACCGGCGAACGTCGTGGGATATTATCCACTACTGGTCACTCTACAAACTTCGTCATAGCCGTATGGTTGCCCACAGAGAAGCCATCCGAACACTGGATTATAAGAGGAGTTGCTATGCTTTGTCAACTCAGTGAATAAAATAAACTAATGTAACGCCACTTGCTCCTTTCTTCTAGTTTTCCCATTACAATAATCTGGATTATATATCTTAGCATATTCATAAAAAATTATTTTCAGTGCTGTATCTTTTCTCGTGTGAATTGATGAACTACCCTAATAGCTAGGATATATTCTGGGGATATCATTAGGACATTCAATTCAAAGGACGTACGGAGGTTTCCTGAAGGTCTGTACTATTAGGGTAATATCATCTGTTTGTTCAAATGTAAGACTAATGAAATTGTCTTATTTTCTCTTCGTTTTTCGTCGTTTCTTTAAAGAAATACGCTCGAAGTATGCTTTCCATGCTCTTTGGATAATCTTGGCGGCTCGGTTGCGCCTAAGCAAATCTAATTGTTTGGTGAAAGCTATCATTAGCGTGAGTTCTCGCTCTTTCTTGAATTGAACATACAGTTCCCGTTGCACGGCCAGCTGATCCTAATGAAAAAAATTAATGACAGTTCGGAAAAATTGTACATATTAAATATATATTAAATTTAAGATTAAATATACTACAAACCTCCATTTCTTTAATTTTTTCTATAATAATTTCATTGTTTTTTGATAGTTCTTCTGTCAACGCATGAGACGCACCGATGTCGCAATCATATTTAGCAAGAAGCGCAATATATTGTTGTTCAATGTTTGCACTGAAATATAAAATTAATAAAATTGAACAATTACTTATTCATATATATTCCTGATAACAGATATTCACTAATTAAACGAATCTTTTTACGGAAATTGTTCCACATTTACCATATATCAAAAAGCTTTTTCTCAGATGTTGCATTGAATTCTGTAACGTTGTACAATCTGCGCTCTGTTGAATCTATTTCAGACTGTAGTATTTTCCATCGTGTTTCCTCTCGTTCCCTTACATTCATCATTTCCCGCATTGATTCCTCTCTACAAATAAAAATAAAATTTGTTAAGAAATTATAATACAACAAAGCGAGATAAATTTTATTTCAATAAACAATACGTTTCTCAATACATTTCTTTTGGTATCTCTATTTCTGATGTTTCCTTGATGCTTCGCATTATCTCTTCTTCGTCATTTACGCAGACAACAATATCCCTCAGAAAAATTTCAGAGCTCGAGTTTTGTTCTTCAGACATTTCCTGCAAAGCTGCCATGGTAATTGATACTTTAGTCTGTGTCCAAAATAATGCGTATATATTATTTAATAACAATAGTTTTTATTTACCTTCGAGTTCCGCCAAGACTTCCGCTATTTTTGTTCGGCAATCGTGCAAATTGATAGCGTGCTTGGATTCTACATCGGGAGTTTTCTTCATACGGGATATAACGAATTTTTTTAGGAGCTCAATGAGATCGATGATCTCTCGAAGTAATGACGAAGCATCGACTCCACATTTTTCAATCTATTGAGTAATAATAAACGATCTCATTCGATCAAGATTATTTTTTACTTAACATTCAACGTTCAATTCTCATAGAGCGGATAATTTTGAAACAGTTTTAATTTTACGAACGCAACATGGCGATTTTCAGCGCCAAGTTAGCGCATTATCACATTGGGCGAGTTCAAGGCGGCTAGGCATGCTTGCCGAGCGAATGATTATGATTGGTTCTTACCTGTGGATCCAACCAATCATGTTTAATTGCTCGGCGAGCAGACCTACTAAGGCCGGAATCAGACTAGGCATTGAAGATTGAGATTGAAGATTAAAAGATTGAAATTTGACCAATCAAAACAATAGGAGCTAAAATTCCTTTGCCCTCATTGGTCAAATTTCAATCTTCAATCTTCGATCTCAATCTTCAATGCGTAGTCTGATTCCGGCCTAACCGCTTTGTCGACTTGAACGCGCCTATTGATATATATAGTTCTTTTTCAGACTCGCCGATTGGCTGATCGGAGAAAAATTATTTGCCTAGTTTACATTGTGCACTTGATACTAACTAGTAACTTTCTATTGAATTATCTTAATTTCGATGAAACATATACATGATATGTGTATTTAATTAATTTTATGCATATTCTACCAATTTAGTACATCTTTAAATACATTGCTGAAATTAAAATAATTTAATAGAAAGTTACTAATTAATACGCGTATCAAATGCTCGGTGTAAAAGGGGTCATTGGAACTTCGGAAATTCTCTATCCGACAGTCAATCAGTACGTTCGAAAAGCTTATGGTACGACACACGAAATATAAAGTTTGGAATCGAGCGAAGTTACTGAAATAAATAAAATTAAATAAGAAATTAAATAAGAAAAATTTTGAGAGGTGTCTAGAATGAACACTTTTTCAAACAGAAAGACGTAAAAGAAAAATTTAATATCTATTAAGAAAATAAACAAATTTATTCGTTTAGATTGAATATAAATTTTGCAAAATTACCGATTCCTTCAGTCTATTCGTAACTCTCGTTAAAAGTTTCTCCATTCGAATTATCGAAATCGTGATGTCTTCTTGATCGCTCATGATCCTTTCTCTTTTTTAGACTTCTTAGACGATTTCACGATCTCTTTACTCGCAGAATTATCCAGATTATACGTTATGATACATCTAACGATCCAACAATACGTACTTCTATGGTTACGATCCTTGCATTCCAAAGTATTTTCTATGCAATATGTCGACGATACGGAGCGCTTTTCAACTTAAATTTCTGCCATCCTGCGATTATAATCCTTTTAACTTAAGACATCATACATTTTCTAAGAATCTATCGTTGAAATATTAAAAACAATTAATATATATAGATTACAGCTTTATTTGTATAATTTTAATAAGTCTGATTTAAAATATATTTTTCTTAAATATCAAAGTGTGTTTCTCTCTCGTTCTTTCATCGCGCAATGATCATTATTTTCTGTATAGCAATATAATGAACTGAATAATTAACAAGGCTGGGTAATCATTTAAAATGCCAAATATAAAATACTTAAAAAAATGTATTTAAAATGTAAAATGTTTTTCGAATCCACTTTATATGTAAAATGAGTAAATAGATATTTTAAATAGTTTTCGAATACAGAATGGTTTTCCTTACATATATTTTAATATACATTTTTTTAAGTATTTTACATTTAGCATTTTAAATAGAATTACATTTTAAATGGCATTTCTAATGCAAAAATACCCAGCCCTGGTAATTGTAGGGGAGATCGGATCTCGTTGGCACAAGAGGTAAGTTGGCATTGCGTTCCGTTTATGTATTAAAAAAAATTAAAATATTATCATTGTTCGCAATTTATTTTGCATCGTTATGCAATAGATACTTATAAATTATTAGAATGTCGATAGGAAAAAAATAATCCTCTACGTTTCATAATGCTCCGAAAGAAGGCGTTCCTCTCGGTGCCATGGACTCGGTGCTGTGTCGATGAATTGAATACATGCGCATATATATATACATATATATATATATATATACACACCGTGAATAATCTCAATCATCTGCTCCGCCGTAACTTCTGTGTGTGCGACCGGAATTTAAACATGACGTTTTGATAGAATTGCTATGACATCACCGGGGTCCGTTGCACTTCCCGGGCTGGTATTCGATCTAAGAAACGACGAGTGCATGTGAATGTCCGTCGATGCGTGATTGCGAATCCTGTCGTTTTGACAATTAACGCCACACCTAAGTCACGCAATTTATTTATCAGAAACCTACAGGCACGTATATATCTGTAGCGTACGCACCAGAATATTTCGTGCAGCTTGGCTGTGATTATCTGTAACTTTGTTCTATATGTATACGATTCCCCACCGGAGATTGCACAATTAAGTATATAGAAACATTAGAAACGTAGGAAGGCGATAATCTCCGGGCGAAACGTCTTTATGAGACCTCCTTCTCGTAGCATTGAGCAGATTTACGCGTAGAGCGTGCTGCGGCAAAAAGTTGTATTCATGCCTTTTTGTCTGAGGGGTAACGCAACTTGGAAAATGGAAGAATATTCTGTTGCATCTGATGTGTCAGTAGTGGACGTGTATGATATTGCATCGGAGATAGGGAAGGAATGCGAGAAGCTCATAGATCTGTTTGGGGTGGAGTCGGTGACCAATTTAATGCCAAAGGTGATAAATGCTTTAGAGCTACTTGAGAATCTTGCTACTAAGAACGAGCGTGAAAATACCATGGTGCAAGAGCTGAGTACTAAGATCTCTCAGCTTGAGAGCGATAAGATTGGAAAGGCTGAAGATAGGCAACGATTTGAAAAGGTAGCTAATGGTTTAACTTTTATGTAACAATCTCAATGCGATTTGCAATTCATGATCGTATATTTGATGTCACAATTATGTATTGTCAACTTTATTTGATTCTTTTAGGAACTGGAACAAATTGAGGAACACTGGAGACAAGAATCGCGTGATTTAGTAGCAATGGTTACTAGATTACAAGAAGAAAACAGACGATTAGCTGAATCTCTACACGAATCACGTAGTGATAGTCAGTACAGCAGTAAACAAACAAGTACTAACACCAATTAACCAGTTACTAATCCAATAATTATAAAAGGGTTCTGTTATACGTACAGACGTACGTTTGACAGAATATTGTACAAATTAACAAATTAATGAAATAACTGTTTCATTAATTTTTAGCTATTACAGCTAGTCAAGAGGTTGATATAGCAGTTCTACAACATTTGAGGTCTATGATAGATAAACAACGCGAGCAGATCCGTGCTAGAGATCGAGAATTGTCACAAAAAACTGCAGAAATTGAAAATGTAAATTGGTATTTATATGTACATATGCTCAATTCAATGATTTTTTTTTAAGACATAAGATACATTTTTAACATAAATATACATATATCTTATATCTGTTATACTTGGAATATATTTCCAAGTACTTTATAATTATTAAAAATTTAAAGAGAAAATTTCGTTTTAAAATTATTGAACATGAAAATTCATGTAATTTTGTTATAAGCTGTACATAATAAATAATACAACGTATTGTGTAGTTGAGTGCACAAGTGGAGAAGCTTACCGTACTGGGACGGGAATTGAAACGTAAACAACGACAAGCGCAAATGCAAGCTCGAGGTTTAGTAGAAGAAAGGGCCGACTTTTTAGCTCAACTGCAGGATCAGAATCGGGAACTTATAAATCTTCGGGGACGGCTTGGCATGGCTAAGAAAGAAAATGAGGATTTGAGTAAATTACAAGGTTGTCCTGATTTGACGAACAAAGCAATTTATGATCTAGATGATCCTGATAGACCCAGATTCACAACTGCTGAGCTAAAAGAAATTTTACACGAGCGAAATGAATTGAAGGCAAGAGTTTCGGATCTCGAAGACGAACTAGAATTATATAGACCAAAACCTGAAATGTAAGTCATTAAATAATAGAAATTTATATATATAAATTCTTTGCTATATAAAATATTCATATAATTTCATGTTGTTTCAGTCTTGAGGATGATAAAGATGCACCCGTGCAGGGGCCGCTTCCTTATGAACCAGATGATGCACCATGGAAAAAATCTTCTGAATCTGGAATTCGTAAATTGTACGTGTTTATTATTTTCGTTTCTTATTTGTGTGTAACATGTATCTAAAGCGTTTTAAAATTTTATTATAGCTTCCGAAAAATATTCTCTGAGTCTAGCAGCAGCTTTCTCGGAGGTAGTAGTCCCAGACGAAGTCTTTCTAGTCTTTCAAAGATGGCCCTATCTGGTAACAGTACCTGTGATACATCTATATAATGCTTTTTTAAAAGTGCGTTGGATAATTTTAAGTAATTAGAACTTGTCGAGGACGACAACTAAGGATGACATCGCTTAGGACTAGACTTTTTATTTACGTAACCACATTCTCTGACTGCTCGATATACATACAATTTTACATCAGATATTTTAACGTAGAGATAGCAATTCCTGTAAGAAAGATAGTTGATATTGTTGAGACCTGATTCATAGTAGATAGATATGCATGCTATGAGCGAATAGAGGAAATACTAGATTTGTATAAACCTATAATACAACAGAAGAAACTTGTGTGCATGTACATAATTGTATAGATGTAAAAAAAAGACAATGTGTATTTAGCTGCACGACCTTAGTACATCATAACATTTCTCATTTTTTCCATTTATTCCCCTTTAGATATTGAATTCATTGAAATTAATAGATACGTAGGATATTCGTAATGTATGTAAGAAAAAGATAGTGATCAAACTAGAAAAAAACATTCCAGTTTATTCAAACTTACTAGGTGCGTGTAGTTTTAAATGTACATTGATGAGGTTCTAATTGTGTCTAATGTGAAACAGGTCTCGTTTTCTTTCTATATAAATATAAATATATATATATATATATATACACGCAGATACCAAAGTATCTAATTATTGTTTGCTAAACTTTAAAGAGTGATTTGTATATCTTATCTTTTAATAATTTTCGTTATTCTATCGATTATGTATATATGAATTAATCTATTTTAACTTTGCAAAAAAAAAAAAAAAAATTAAACGCAATTTTTAGAATAAATTCTACATTGAACGGACCATAGTGTTTATATATTATTTTTATTGATTTTTTAACTTTATTAATTTATTTTAATATGTCTTATATTGAGTGTGTCAAAATGCATTTATGATTAAAGCACATAATGTTTGAATTTATACATCATTTTTTATTTTTTTGTATATTGTAAAAGCAATAACATATTTACATTAAATTCTTTTATCTCATTTATAACTGTCTGCGGATATGATATTGAATCGAATACATTTCACAATCTGTGCCATGTGTTAATATAAAAACGAATGAGTTTTTTCCTATATTACAATTGTAAATATACTCATGAAACACAAATTGATTTAATGTATATTCATTTCAACACGTTCATATGAAAATATATTTTTCTCGGATATATATATATATATATATGACGATATAATTTTAAAAAATCGTCAATGCCTATATATATATATATATACACACCTACACACACACACATTGCACGCACACGCACACGCGCGCACACACATATATTTGTGTGTCTTTTGCTCGAACCATCAGCATCTCCGCAGAAGTCTCGTTCCTTTTTATATTATTAAATTGGACAATTTAATAATAATATGATTACATATGGTTCGCACAACTTTATCAAATCGGACAATTTGATGACCAAGTTTCGACAAGTATTAGATACATCTAATAGTTTTAACCATTAACTTATATATCAGAGCATTCTCTCTTTAATGCTAATTTCTCCGAATAATTTTGTTTTGCGTTATTAATTCTACTGATAAGGACCCAAACCGAGGGTTGAAACGTATACGTGTACTTGCTTAATAAATGATTTGTAATTTACACTCGAACATTCTGTCTTGGCTTATAACGGTATTACTTATCTTGTTAGATTTAATCACTTGAGTCTATTTCAGTTATTAATTTTGGTTTTATGTGTGTGTGTGTGTGTGTGTGTGTGTGTGTGTGTGTTTGTGTGCTATCTAAATAAT